TTGGAGATAGCCAAAAGGAGTAACTAATGTATTGAATGTAGGAAGTAAGGGAAAGAAGGGAATCAGGATTAAAAAAAAAAAAAAAAATCTGTTTTGAGGTTAAATATTCAATAACCTAGAGTATACATAATACTCAAACATTTTGAAGATTTGGTAACCGTGAATCTATTTTTTAAAAGCAAAAATTCGTTTCTTAAATGAATTGCTATGCTGTCCTACTCGGATGTAGGCATTGTGCAGAAACATATGATATATACTGTACAAAGCACACACTCAACAGTTATTTTTGAATGAAAAATGTATTCATGTTAATTTGATTTGCACACAATGCCAAAATACTACAGTTTGCTTTTTCCCCCCCTCTTCCCCTTGTTCTTAATCTGGGACTGCCAGGTAAACAAGGAGTGAGCCTGGTGATTACCCTGCTTTTCTTGAGCATGGAGTTTTAGTAACCTACATTTACAGACAATTATCAATCTTGTGGTTTAAAAACTCAATTCAAAGCATTATCTTACTAAAAGCAATTTAAAAAAACATTACCATGGGCAGACCATAAGGAGACCGTTTGAAAGCTAGAATACTGATGGGTAAGGTAAGAGAGGGCAGAATGTTTTCCAGGGAACAGTGAATCAGCCTATGACATGATTTTTGTTCCATGTTTCTTTCTCAAGGATAGTGAACCACTGGGGAATAAAATACTGAATAAAATGTTGTAGTTCATATATTCATTATGTAGCTTTGGGGTTTTTATTTAAAAATCTAACCTCTTTGGATCACGACAAGGATATACCGCATAATAAAAATGAAAATATAAATCCATTTTAAACACTGCCTGGAAATACTTTAACACACATTATGTATCATAAAGAAACTTTTACAAAAATAGGATTTCTCTCGAAAGCTTAAATGGGAGGCAGGCAAACATCTGACTTTTAAAACAGACGGAAGCTCGGAACATTTCTGGGATAGGTAAATCTGAAATTTGTGTTATATTTTATGCCTGAGACAGTTACCCAATCCAAATTGATGGCTAGCGTATCTGTTCTTCTTCTTGTTCCATCCTTCCTTTCTAACATGGAAATTTAACAATTCAGCCTTTCTTTTGTAATCTTTTGGATGAGCATTCCAGCATGTATATGATTTTTATAATTTGCTCTGTAATTTGTGAATATGTCGTCCATTAGCTAATCAAGACATATTCAATAATAATAATAATTTTAAAAAAGCCACTGCCATTGAGTTGATTCCGGCTCTATTCAATAATAAATAATATCAATTCATGGAATCCAACAAATGTACCCTGACACAAGGGGAAACAAACAAACAAACAAACAAAAACCCCAACAAAAACAATTTGCTACTACTGAGTTTATTTTCATAATAAAATTTTCAAAAAACCACATTTGTAAAATTACCCACATTCTGGGCTTAAAGGTAGTCAGTCTTTACAAAGGAATTAACAATTTGTAAACCTGTTTTCTCTTAACTATCAAATAGATTTAAAAGGTGTTAGAAAAGAAAATATTAGGTCATGCTCAGTGTTTTTAAAAACGAGTTAATATATATTAAATATGCAAGATACAAGTACAAGATTAAATGTTAAAAACATTTAGGGAAAAAAGCTGTACTTTTTTTTCAAGAAAGCTTTAATCTTATGCGATGCGAAGTAAGGAACATACAGTATATCCCACAAAAACTATGATCCCAAAATTTACCTAATAGCTTTGCAAATGAATTGACACCAGAGAAAACACAGGAATTTCCTTTCAAATACATAATAATGCCTTAATTTTCCTGACAAAAATAATCAAAATGAAAATTTAGTCCATTCCAATTAAAAATACAAATTACTGGTATTCAACGTAAGATAGCATTACATATTTTTAACAACACAAAAGTTCAAGCATTTTTCAAAAGCACAAACTGTGTTATTTCAGGAAAAAAAGTAGAAAACACATTTTATCTAATCAAGGTTTTACAGAAATTTGGAATATTTACATACTTTATAATACTGTAGAAATCTTTGGTGGTGACTGTATGGATTAAGTTCCCTGAAAACATTTAATGATTTTGTTCCACCAACCAGTGTAGTCAAGTATTTAGAATTAATAATGCTGGCAGTACCATGTTCTTGCCAAAACCCATATATATATATATCTATATATATATCTATATCTATATATAGATATATATATAGATATAGATATATATAGATATATATAGTAAATGGTGTGGAAGGGATCTTACACTGGACCTGGTGGGTTTCCATAATCAATTAGTTAGCATTAAGGCTCATTTCTGGCTTATTTTTATTCCAGAATTAAGATGGCAAAGTAAAGAATAAATCAATTCTTACTTCTAAATAAACTTTGTAAATTGCTAATATTAAAGAACAAGTTAAATGAATATATAATAAAATACCACACTGGCTATAGCTTCTGGATACATTAGCTGGCTACCAAATAGTATTATAAACAGGCTTGTGGATCTAATGCCCACATAAGAAGTGCTGGGGCGAAAGCAAGGCACTGTGGCTCTAGGGGTAACTTCACCTGTTTGAACCAGAAGACTTAAAAGCACAGAAGGGCAAAAAAGCTGCCCTACCTTAGAAGAAAATAAAGTATATGAACTTATTACACAAGGTACAAAGGAAACAATACGTTAAAACACCCATAAGGGAAAAGTAGCAAAATTTAAGCAATGTAAGAAGAGGAGAAAGAGGAAATGATAGCACACAAAAACGACCTCAAATGTGTCTAAAAATGCCTCAGTAGAAACAGAAGCACTGTGAAGTATGAGCACAGTTAAACAGGACTTGTACTGTCTCCTCCTGACAGGTGTTATGTTTGATTAAATATTTTGATTCTACAAGTGTAGAGGGACAATTGCTCCAACTGAAAATAGTATTTATGAGTCTACTCTAATTAAATGGTTGATACTGAGATTAGACTTGAAAAAGATAAAATGGTGTAAATCAGTCCGCACAGATAGTGTTCTTGATGCAAGGTGGCTCTCATAACCTTACCAAGCAATTTGAGATGACATTGCCTTTTTTGTAGAAAACATAGCATGCTACCATTTACATCAAGAAACCTAAAACCAGTTGCCATAGACTCGACTCTGACTCATGGTGACCCCATGTGTGTCAGGGTAGCACTGTATTCATAAGGTTCTCAGTGGCTGATTTTTTTGGGAAGTAGACCCCCATGCCTTTCTTGCGACATGCCTCTTGGTGACTGGAACTTTCAATTGTTCCGCTTAGTGGCCAATTGTATTAGCTGTTTGCATCACGCAGGGACTCCTGTTGAGAAGACTAGATCTAGGCAACACAAATAAAACCCTCTTCCAAGAGTTTCTAATGAAGTTTCACAGGAAATTTGAACAGATATTAAAGAGTTTTTCCAGAAACTAACAGGCTAAAAATTAGTCAAGGTAAAGTAGTTGAAAATATTCATACTTAAACTTTATGGGCAAAGAAGTTGAATAAAGTTTTACTTGGTATCATATAAGAAGAATGAGATAACCTAGGACATTTTAAAGCTAGTTATCAAGGGGCAATATATGAATTATATACTAAATTGAATAAAATAAAGAGTTGCTGTCAAGTTGATTCTATACTAAAGTACTCCTGAGTAAACATTCTCTTCTCAGTGAATACTCTGAAGAGGTCCTGAATATACATTACTTCATTTCTTAAAAGGTAGAAAGATCCAAGATCCCACAAATCATTTTTTTTTTTCCTTTTGGACAAACAAGTAGAATAGTCAAATAAATTATCTGCATAAGTATTATTGTACAAATTGCATTACTGATCACTAAAATCATCACCAAAAATATGCTAACTTGGGGTTCACAATGCATAGTTATCAATGTGACCTAAGAGTGTCAAAGTTCAATAACTCAAAAATCCCTTGGATTAGAAAAACAATTTTTCCAATTCTTTCTAATATGCATTTTGCACTGAAACTCCTCTTCAGGAAACTATCTCTACCAGGAGAGAACTGATTCAAGCTATTCTAGTCAATGCCAGATTTATAAACCAGTAGCGCATCTAACATCAAGCTTGTGAAGTGGATTGGCTGTTGGATAATCGTGAGCTCCACCAGAGACCTAAGTGCTATGCTGGTCTTTGACTCTATTTCACAAGTTACCACTTAAAAGCTGAAAATGTAACCAATCTTAACATGCCAAAGTCAACTACAATGTACAGTTAAATATGGGAAATGGGTTAATGTTTAAAATAATTTCTTATTTGTAAAAAAAGTAATTAAAACTTAAACAATAAGCTATATTTTTATATTACTAAAAGCAAACAAATTTAACAAATGAAACCCATAGAAAAAAAGAGATGATATAATTCAAGGCAGGAATATGACATGTAAGACTGTGATTAACGGCAATAGTGTCAGTAAAATTTAAAATAAATGTACAGCCATAATAGAAGTAAACAATGTTCAATTGTGCAAAACTATTCAGGAATAAAAGTGCTATGTAGATACCTGGTTTTGATATATTTGCTTAAAAACTTTCTGTTGATGGTGGAAAAGCTAGAAAGCATTATAGAGGTAAAAATTTAAAGAATATATAAAACATACTTTATCATCTTACATTATGCCCTTGTAATGTTACTGATGGATTAGAGGTCTATTTAATAACTATCCTCATATGAGATACATACATACATATATGTATGTATGTATTTCGAGGTAAACACAATAAAATACCTTAATGGCTGATGTATGCTGAACCACAAAAACACTCTTTTCAAGTATACTGTATTTCGTTTTCATCTTATATCCCAGGCACTCAGGGTTGTTGGTGAATTTAAAACAGACAATGTGAATTTTGATAATTTTCTATATACATATTAATAAGCCTTATGTAACTACCTTTAATAGTCAAGATTTTGAAGTGATTGTTAAAGCAATTAATAACTATTTAAATTGATGAAAGTAAGCCCTATCACCACTACAATTTAAAGAACTATTTTAATGTGTAAATCCTGAATGTATAATATTTAATAATGAAGTCGACGTATTAGTATAATTTATCTTGGGATATTTGAAGTGCAGATGGCTAAAAATACACCTGTGGTCTCTTCTTCACTTTATATTTTAGTGACCCATACCGCACCTGAAGAGAAAAATGTTAATATGAATTACATGATTAATTAAATAGGATGACAGTTCATAATCATAGTAATCATTTTTTAAACTCTTCTGATATGAAGAATCAATTATACCATTATGCTCTTTGAAGAACTATCTAATATATATTAGATCATGGTGACAACAGCAACTCACAATAGTAATAGGAACCTTAGGGGGCAGTGAGATTATATTAACAGAGGAGGAATAACTCACAAAAGGAGGGTGAGAATGGCTGCATAACTCGCAGAATGTAATCAATGTCACTGAACCATACATGTAGTGTTCTGTGGGTGTACAATTTGCATATATATTCTCAACACCAAAAAAAACACAACTATCCTTTAAATGTGTATTCAAAAGACAGTACTGCTTATGTATGCACAAAAATGCAGTTGGTACAACATGGGATGTAAGCTGGAGATACTATATTATTACTAATAAGTAAAAACACTAACTGTTACCTTTTTTTTTTTGCTTAGTACAATGGCGACAGACACTGAACATAATAATCTGAGGCCATTCAAAATTCTCCAGGTACAAAGACAATACGTTGCTTTAGATAAACTTCTACTATTTAATCCTTGTGTAGGGTGGCTCAAAACAAAACTGCAGTTAATTTTGTCAGTTGCTTTCCTTGCTTGTGAACAGGGCTGGCACTGGGGAGTCATGATAACCATATTATCTGCTATACAGGAAGACCATTTTCTACCAGCAATAGACCATTTTGGAAATTTCCAGCAATCTTAATATCTCTGATCTGAAAAGAATTTTAAATAAAATTGCTCCTCTACCATCCCAATCCTTCATTTCTAGATCATTAACATTCATGATAATGCAGCAGGGAAATCCCTTAATACTCATCATTAGGAAAACAACTCTATGCTCCACTAACCTCTTTGCGGCCTTTGACAGTTTTCACAGATTTCATGCTTTGTGTTCTTCGAAGCCCTTTGTGTGTTATCATCTCATCGTCTGAGTATGGCCCATTCTCTTCTTCATCTGTTTTTTCATCTCCATCTTTTAGTGGAATTCCATACCCTAAATGAGTTGTCAAGAGCACATGTTTTGGTGAAAGGCTCTCGGGCAGAGTGACCTATTTATTACACTGCAGTGTTTCTGTTTGTAGTTCTCTGCACTGTTCGCATCTGTCAGGTTACTCCCTCTCCCAACCCCATGTGGAATGTGCTCCCTGCTTTATCCCTGGCATTATTCTACATGAAGCTCATACCACACTTTCTCCATGAAACTGTCCCTGACCATTCTTATTTGTATATTCTTCAGAATATATATATATAATGTATATATATTCTTCAGAATAAATAACACAAATTATTTTTGAGTAGGTAATATATTCATCTTGTTAAAAAATCAAAGAATAGCTACCTAGTAAAGTCTCTTCTTTACTCATCCTGTCTTTCATGAATTCTAAGCACCTCCTATAACACAGATACAGTTTTTAAGCACTTGTGTGATTTTGTTTGTTATTTGCTCTTGTGATTTAAATTAGGAATTGAGGTTTTTCTCCGCCCTTTGTGTCTGTCATATCTTTGGTCACGATTAGCAATGGGAGGAGTTAGTAAGACCCACTAAAACCAGACCAGTTGCTGTTGTGTGAATTCTGACTCTCGGAACGCCTGTGTGTGTCAGAACAGAAGTGCACTACACGGGGTTTCCGATGGCTGGAGCCCTTCAGAAGTTCGTCTTTCGGTCTTTCTTCTCAGACACCCCGGCTGGGTTCAGTAGCCCAGCGCCTGACCATTTGTACCACTCAGGGACTCCTAAATAAGACCCAAGGGGACAGAAATGTGGGCAAGTTATGTTCACTGGAAAGTCCCTGTGCAGTGTAAACTGTTTGTGTCAGACTACGAATCTAAACGTTGGTGGGTTTAAAACCACTCAGTGGCTCCATGGACAATGGCCTGGCAATCGCTTCTGTTGAGATTACAGCCAAGAAAACCCTGAGGAGCAGTTCTACTCTGTAACACTTGGGGGTCACCATGAGTTGGAACTGACTCCACACTAAAGGAAAAACAAATGTTCACTGGGAGGAGGCAATGGAGATGTTGCAGCTGCTGTGATAAAACCCAGCCAGACAGGCTACCATAATTAGAAACACTGTAGACTATGATGACAAATGTTAATCAAAGAGTACCCAGAATCAGGAAGGTCAGTAAGAGATCATGTGGGCGTGCTAACAAAGACTTAATATAAGCCACTGTGCAAACAGTCAGTCTGTCAGGTTGGTTATGGTCTAGAAGTCCGAAAGCAAGAAGCTGGGATTCAGGGAAAAGAACTCTCCCATCCCTGAACTCACTGTTCTCAAATTTTAGCACATATCACAGTCACCTGAAGAATTTGTTAATACACAGATTGCTTGAGTCTCACCCCAAAGTTTCTAATTCAGGCCTGGAGCTGGGCTGAGAATCAGCATTTCGAGCAAGCTCGCAGGTGATGCTTACGCTACTGGTCTGGGGCCCACACTTTGAGAACCACTGACTGAGGATCCTGGAGAGAGCAAGACAAGTACCCAAGTCTAAGGCAATCAGAATACTGGGTATGTTATGAAGATGGGGTGAGGTTATGAGACTCTGTTGAGTTTCAAATTTTCCTTTAATAAAGATAAAGGAGCATAACTAGTACATTTTCAGGTAAGGAAAAAGTAGAAGCGTTCCCAGGGTCAAGAGGAGGCAGGAATATATCCCTTGCATTACCAAGAAAAATACACTCAGTAAAACGTTTTTTAGTTTATTCTCCCAGGACACAAACAATTTGAGACCCACTAAGGAGCTCTGGTAGCATAGTGGCTAAAGCACTTGACTGCTAACCAGAGGCTGGCGGTTCAAACCCACCAGCCACTCCTCGGAAGGAAGGTTGGGCAATCCTACTTCCGTAGTGATACTGCCTCGGAAACCCAAGGAGGGGTCGCTATGAGTTGGGGCCAACTCGACGGCACATAACAACAACAACAAAGTAAACCATGGGAGCTCTGGTAGCATAGTGCCTAAGGCACTGGACTGCTAACCAGAAGGCTGGCAGTTCAAACCCACCAGCCACTTCTCGGAAGGAAGGTTGGGCAATATACTTCCATAGTGAAACTGCCTAGGAAACCCAAGGAGGGGTTGCTATGAGTCGGACCCGACTTGATGGCAGTGAGTAGTAGTAGTAGAAAGTAAACCATAAGGAGCACTGGTGGTGTAATGGTTAAGGCATTTGGCTGCTAATCACAAGGTTGGTAGTTCAAACTCACAAACTGATCTGCAGCATTAAGATGAGGCAGTCTGCTTTTGTAAATTTACAGCCTTGGAAACCCAACAGGGGTCACTCTCTATGAGTTGGAATTGAGTTGATGGCAGTGAGTTTGGGTTTTTTTTGGTAAATAAACCATGAAGAGTTGTAATAAGCTTCTTATCTCGCAACAACATAAAAATCTTTATAAATTAGACAGGTATAGTTTTATGCTGCCAGATTTCTAGGGTCGAAATTAAGACAGATTAGGAAGCAGAATCAGCCCATCATTATTTTAGGTGAAGATCCTTGTTCTGTCACTTTGTTTACCTGTAGCAGTACAAAGAAGTACATTCTAGGTAGAAGAAAGAGCATGTGCAGAGGTCCTGGGGCAGGCAAAAGAATTAAAGCTGTGAGGAACTGAAAGGAGACTAGTGTAGCAGGGAGCTGGACTGCAGATGGGAAAATGCTCCTTACATAATATTAAGTGGAAAACAAATTGTACATGTAGAAACAAAGGAAATGCATAAAAACGAAACTGTACCCACTCTTCACTTACTGACATGGTTAGGTTCCAAACATCAGGTCATTATGCAAAAATTGGCATTATGTAAAAATGGAGGATGACCATATCAGGTTGCAAAATGGAGGATAAATACATCATCACATAACTGCCAGATTATATCACTGCTAACTACTAAACCACTGAGAATCATGGCCTAGCAAAATTGACACATCACTTTAACTATCACAGCCACAGTTACTCTAGCCTAGCACCCTGGTGTTTGTTACTGCCAGATACATGCTACTGATGTGCAAAACATTAATAGTAGATTTTTTTTTACTACTGTTGTAAATGCAAAATGTCATATAATAAGATGGTCAGTAAGTGAGGAGCAGGTGTAGTATTGCTTTTGGAGTTGGGCGTTTGGATTATTTTAAATTTCTTCATTTCCTTTTTTTATTTGCCAAAATTTTGCTCTTAAGAACTATAATTGATGAAAATAAACCAGAAAAAACATTGTTTTTTGGTTGTAACTTCTAGACTTTTCTCCATTGCTGCGGCTTATACACTATTCCTGATTCCAGTTTAATAAAACTAAGGTAAAATGCAGAATGAGGAATCAAGGAATGAATCAGAAACAAAGCAAAGTGATCAAAAACTTCTTTAAGGCCACAGATGAAGCCTAAGACTATATACTTTGAAAAACATGTTGTGTGCCCTTGTGTTCATTCCAACTCTTACTAACCCTATAGGGTAGAGTAGAATGGCCCCATAGGGTTGCCAAGGCTGTAAATCTTTATGGAAGCAGACCGCCATATCATTCTCCTAAGGAGCAGCTGTGGGTGCAAACCCCTGTCCATTTGGATAGCAGCTGAGTGTTTAACCACCATGGCTATGTTGTTGTTATGTGCTGTCGAGTCTACTAGGGATCCTCAAAAGCTATTTATACCACATCTTATTCTTTTGTTGTTTCCTAATTTTAGTGAAAAAAAAAAAAAAATCTTACTAGTTTTCTGATTGCTGTTTCAGTAAAGTGGTGGACTGATTCTGTGATTATTTTTTAAATGTTACTATGTGTGAGGTGGTGTGCTAAATTATGTGAAATGATGAAAAAAGATACAACTGTCTTTTTCTACTCTTAAGTAACTTAAAATCCAACAGAGAAAAAACAAACTCACATGGGCTGTATAGTACTGTGATAAATGTTACAAACAGAAGGTAAGGTCAAGACTCTATGGGAAGACACAGTAATAGAATTAACTCAGCCTGGAGGTAGATTATGTGTATGTACACACATGTGTGCGTGCGTGTGTATTAGGCTGTGAAAGAAGGCTTCTTGTAGAAGGTGGTGGCTAAGTTAAATCCTTAATGGCCTATAATTCTATATAGCTAGTACATGACAGAGTGTGAGAACAAGGCTGAAGAGTTAAGACACCATGCTATGGAGTTGGACTTTATCAGAGTGCAACGAAGCATTGTTCATTTGAAGCATTTTTAAGCAGAAGGGTGACACGATTAGATTTGGGTTTTTAAAAAAAGATTCTTATGGGTGCACATTGGAGACTGAATCAGAGGAGGATGAAATTGAAATTAGGGAAGCTAAGGGGGAATCTATTGCAATATGGCAGGAAAGAAACATTGGAGAGAGAAAGTAGCCAAATTTGGGCTGTATCAAGGAGGTAAATTAACAAGTTTAACTTAGTAAATTATTAACCAAATCCTGTATCAAAAAGAAAGGACACTAGAGTCAAGTAAAATTCTCCATTAAAATAAGCATTTTTAAATTCAATTTAAAAATTTGAAAATGAGTACCTTAATTACCTTTCAAAATGAAGATCACTGTGGTTCTATTTCTGATTTTGAGAAACAGGTTAACAATAACAACAATCACTAAAAATTCCACTACTCAGAGGAAACCACTGTTAACATTTTAGTAATATCCTTTCAGACTCTCCTCTGTGTGTGTGCATTTCAAAAATAAATTTACATGTATTAATCCATTTCATCACCTACTTATTGTGGTAAGTATAGGATTATGTCATGTAAAATATTTTGTCATTTTTTTCCTACAATCTAGATATGTTTTTATATCAATCAGTACAGATCAATACATACATTTTTTCATGACTAATAAACCACTATTTTGCTTAATAATTTATCTTGAGCATTTAGTTTGTTTGAATATTTTGCCATTATAAACAGAGGTGAACATTCATTTGTAAACATACATTTGTAAACACCTGTCCGATTACTTCCTTATGACATATTTCTAGAAGTGTTCTTACTAAGTTAAAGGGAATAAATTTTTATAATTACTGCCAGCTTGCCAGCCACAAATTTAGTCCATTTAAAACTCATAAGATGTGTATGAGTGTGTTTGTTTTGCAACATGCTCCCTGTGGTGGTTTTAAAACATATCCACAAATTATCTGATACTCTTCTCTCCTTCCCTTAAATAAAAATCAATACACCTAATTGTTAAATGCATATTAAGAAAATGACTATATTAAGATCTTTAACATTACTAACGTATTAAGGCTGATGGTTCAAAGTTCAATGGCTCCACTCTCTTAGTGGCATTTACTACCTTAATCAATGGCCAAAGCTTAATTACCACTTCTTAGGTAATAGCCAACAATTGTGTCAAGTTATTCATTTCAGGGAGAATATGGAAGAAAAGTAAAGTATCATTATATTTTTCAAGAAGGGACTATTATTTATATTTCAAATTGGTTTTAATTATAAAGGATGATTTTCAATCTCTTTGTAAAGAAAATCTCTACTTTAAAAAAGAAAAAAAAGTCAAGGAGATCTGTACTTTATAGGCTTATTTTATTAATAAGAAATATCTGGAAGATCTTAGTTTTTAGCTAAGACTTGAACTAACACTTTGTTTTATACGGTAAAATGACCAAGAAACTATGTCTTTTTGTTTACGTATATGTTTCTAAAGTCATAATAATTGACCAAAATTACAGAACATATCAATTCTGACATGTTCATAATTTATATCAGAATACACCCACAAGTTAGCTCTTGAACTGGAGTATGTAATTTCAACACATTTCCCACTCGAGTAATCCTGTTTTCAAACTGAGTCATCTTTTGTCATCTTCTTAAAATTCTTTATCTTATGAGTCAGTATCTCTATCTCTTCATGGCATTTATGGGAAAGAGGACTTAAGTATACGATTACTTGGATGTCACAAACAGCATGAAGAGCGAGGATCTGATCGCAGGTCAGAGCTAGTAGTGGGCAGGTGCTTTAGAAGCCCTCACAGCTTCTAAAAATTCACGGCAACACGAGAGGTTGTGCTATTGTCTTAGCTGGATTACCTCCATGGTGTGCAAGAGGCAGATATTAACTTTATTTAGAGAAAATTTAAAGAAAGAGAATTATAGTTAAGTGTAAAACTGGAAAATATAAGCTCAGAAGTAAATTTTGTCCACTCCAAATCAGGTAGTTTACCATGTGTTATTCTAGTGCCCATCATGACCAACCAGCATAATTATTGTAAAAACCAAACCAAATCCCAAACCCCTATATATTGCTGGTTCAGTGGTAGAATTCTTGCCTTCCACCCAGGAGATCTGGGTTCAATCCCCAGCCAATGCACCTCAAGTGCAGCCACCATTGCTGTGTCAGTGGAAGCTTGCAGGTTCTGGCAATGTTAATCCGATTTCACCAGGCTTTCAGACTAAAGGACTAGGAAGGAAATCCTGGCAATTCATTTCCAAAAATCAGTCAGTGAAAACCCTTTGGATCACAATGGACTGATCCTGCTGTGCATGGGGTCACCATGACTTGGGGGCCAACTTGATGGCAGCTAACAACATATAGTGAAACAAACAAGCACACCTGCTGATTCACTGGGTGCTGGTTTACTTTTCTTTTTTGCTTCTGGTAGAGGCTGGTATGGTCTTTGTCCCACTGGCTCATCACCTTGAATAGCTGTTAAATCATGCATACTGAAACTTCTTAAACGTTCAGTTATTGCTCCTTGGCTCTATTTAACAGAGAAGTGATAGATTCAAGGAAAAAAAAGGATATTTAAAAATATTTAACATGCTTACATTTAACTCTTGCCCACTATTTTACTACAAATATTTTCAGTTTATTATGAAATTTTCAGAAAAATAGAACTACAATGAACATCCACATATTATTCATATTTTGCTGTACTTGTTTTAGCACATATCTACTGTCTATCCACCCATCAATCCATTTTATTTATGTATTTCCAAAGTAAACTATAGGCATCAGTACATTTCACTCCTAAACCTTTCAACATTACATTTAATTTTAAAATGTAAAACACTTATAATGTGCTTAATTTCACAGTAAATAGCATCCATAATTCTGCTTTCTCCAAGAATTAGCACTTCAGGGCTTAAATTTATGCTTCAGAAGAACATTTTGCAGTAAAACAGACACTGTTTTAAACTAATCCAACTCAAGAATGGTAATGGCTTTACTTAACAGCCAAAGAATCTTGGATATAAAAAGATGTTCTGTTAATGAATTAATTCACTTATCTAGCAAGGCATATCTACTACTATACAATTTGACTTTAGACCATGTTGCATCAATAATATTGTAGTCACTAGCCAGATGTGAGGAACTCTGGTGGCATAGTACCTAAGGCATTTGACTGCTAACCAGAAGGCTGGCCGTTCAAACCCACCAGCCACTCCTTGGAAGGAAGGTTGGGCAATCTACTTCCTTAGTGATACTGCTTAGGAAACCCAAGGAGGGGTCGTTATGAGTTGGTCCACTCCACCGCAGTGAGTTTGGTTTTGGTTTAGCCACATGTGGCAATTTAAATGAAAATTTATTAAAATTAAGTAAAAAAATCCATTTCCTTAGTTGCACTTTTGTTGTTGTTGTTATGTGCCGTCGAGTCGGCCCCGACTCATAGCCACATTTAAAATGCTTATTAGTTTTATGTGGCCAGTGGCTATTGTATTGAACATTGCAAATTTATGATCATTATTGCAGAAAGTTCAATGATTGCCATCATTATGCAGCTCTGAAAGGCATGTGCTTGAACTATTTCAGACATAACTATATTCTCCAAATTCTAAAGCTTTGTAAAAAGAAGAAAAAAAAATCACTTCTAAATTTACCCACTTTGAAAATTTACACAGCACATACATGACTCATTTTTTATTTATAACTAGATTAAAAATATTCTTCTAAAGGGTTTTATATTTATTATTTCTTCTTTTCAAACATGTGAATGTATGATTGCTTCTAGTTTTGTTACTGCAGAAACTCATCTATAATGGTCATCTCTAGATTTCAAAACCAAAGTGGAGTATTACTGTTAACATTTATTTCATACTGAAGGAAAAGGTCTTCGTTCATCTACTCAGGGTTAGGAATATCACATTTGTCAAAACCAAACACCATACTCACTTTAGCTTTGCATTGCTACCGTATTTTTTGACTTGGGAAGAGGAATTACTAAAGTCTTGTTGCCGTGGAGCCAGCTCTGACTCACGGCCACCCCACGGGTATCAGAGTACAACTGTGTTCCACAGGGTTTTCATTGGCTGTGTTTTTAAAAAGTAGAGCACCAGACTTTTCTTCTGTGGCATCTCTGGGTTGGTTCAAACCATCAACCTTTTGGTTAGTAGCCCAGCACAAACCATTCAGTGCTGTAATTAATAAAGAGTCTATATTCTCTATAAAAATCATACCTGTACTGTATTTCACACAGTTTAAAACATTCTTGGAATGATTTAACTCATTATACTGTGTTACTCTTCATCACATAATTTACTTATTAAACAGATGGCTGAGAAATGACTTTTGAGCCACACTAAAGGGACCAATGCTTATCTCAAGCAGATGCCTGGTTTTCTCAGAAATGTAATTTTCTTTGTCCCATCTTTGTAATCCTGTGCCCTCTCAGCAATTCTTGACTTTTGTCCTACCGTCACACAGTAGGGAAATGGCATACATGCCTCTGACACCCTTTATTTTTCAGGTGCTTCAAGGCTTGCTGTAATTCCCAAACCTGCTCGCATTCAAGAAAACACATCCCAGAATGCAAATGAGTCAAAGTGCTATTGAATCAGAGTAAGTCTAGCTTTATAATTATGTTTTTCACAAATTTTGGTACTTTTAACGATGATAATCAACAAATTAGTTAGGACATCCTCACAAAAGAACTCACAAATCAGTGCTAGTTTTAGAGTTGTTCTGTGTATATTTTGCCTCCAGACCAACATTTTAAGAAACTAGAGGGGAGAGGCAAACCATAGGCTCTGTCTATCTCCCTCTACACCCACCACCAAGGTACTGATATTGAGGATGTAATAAGTAAACTATTCTTTTATGCCTCTTCTTTGTCATTACTGTTGCCTGATAGAGGAGACTCTATGACCACAGACCCAAGTATTATGTTCTAAGTTTCAAGGAAAGCCAGGAAAAAGCAGACAAGGCCTGGGTACCCTCTTTGAGGACTTGACATACTATGATACCCATTATCATCTTGAGAAACCAATTTTCCACTGTAATTTTTCTTATGTGCCCAGAATAGAATATGGGGAGAGAAAATGAACACTATATTGTGAACGTTAGTATTCAACGTGGCCATTTTAAAGGAGAGAGGTAATTATAAAATAATTACATTGAAAGGCAGAACATATCCTCTAGACTGTGTATCTTCCTGGACATAGCTAACAAATGAAAAATAACATTACATAGCAAACATAATTCCCTTATTAAGTAATTACTTCACTATGAGTCGGGTCCGACTTGATGACACATGACAACAACAACATATGGTGCTGAAGGACACCTGGTGATGCAGTGGTTAAGCACTCGGCTGCAAGGCTAGAGGTTGGAATCCACCAGCAGCTCCATGGGAGAAAGAGGAGGCAGTCTGCTTCCATAAATATTTACAGCCTTGGAAACCCCGAAGGGCAGTTCTACTCTGTCTTATAGGGTTGCTATGAGTTAGGATTGACTCAATGGCAATGCATTTGGTTTTTTTTAAGTGGAAAAACTTCTCTCTATCCCAGAACTCTAAATTATATATATATAATAATGGTTACAAGTATGCAGATAGGTAGACATGGAAAATTACCCTAAAGTGAAACCAGTATAATGTCTAGGCAGATTGGATGAGATTATTTTTTCAACAATACTATAAAATTAGTCATAGATGGTATAGTAAAGTGTTGGTTGTCACATTGTGCATTATAAAAATTTCTGATTCATTTTCAACTCATGTTTCTTGTATCTAATCCTTTACTCCCATCATAAAAAGAAAAACTAAGGCCAAATAAGGCATCAGAGTTACCTGTCAATAACAACACTTAAAATGTATTGAGTTTTGTTTAAATTACTACTGTTTTATATGTTTTCTCCTATTTGGCTTATACAATAATAGTAAACTAAAAGGATAAAAAAAGGATTGTGGGGGAAGATCTGTATGGAAACAGCAGTCTTCATCAATAAGGAGGAAGATGGTTACCATCCACAAGATAATCCCATATCCCAGCATTTAACATCCTATTCTTTGCAGAACTGTATGTACACTGTGTATGTTAAACTAAATTCCTAAAAAAAAAAAAAAAAAAAAAGAAGAAGTAATAGAAAGGTCTCAATGAGCATGCAAAAAGCAAACTAATTTACAAGTATTCCATGAAATGTTTTACATTAAACCTTATCATCACCAGTAGAGATGTTCTTAATCCTTTGGAATTTCGGGAGCTCTGGTGGTGTAGTGCCTAAAGCATTTGACTGCTAACCAGCCACTCTTCAGAAGGAAGACTGGGCAATCTACTTCTGTAGTGATACTGCCTCAGAAACCCAAGGAGGGGTCGCTATGAGTTGGATCTGACTCGACAGCAGTGAGTTTGGTTTTAGTTTTTGTTTTAAAGGAGTCAGAGCTTGGAATTAGATGTGCCCAGGACATCCATTTAAGAAACCAAAAACACTGCAGGGGATGGCTGGGCATGACTGACAAGCCCAGGGGCCAGGTGGGCTTTCATGTAGGAGGGCTGGGTCCAGATCTAATACACTCAAGCTCTGGGAAGTATTCTTCAGCTGGGAACAGTTCCAGCAGCTGGCCACACACAGAGCTCATTTATGTCCAAGGCCACTAGGACATCTGAGTATCTATTCAAGTATCCAAGTACATGATTGGCATCTGTAAAAAGGAGAGAGTCTCTGACCTTGTTTGCATGACTAATTCTAACTTCTGTAAACTTTACAAATTCTGTTTTGTGTAAATACTTCATTTCTTGGTTAAATATCACATTAATATTACTATATTTTGCATGAAATAGGGGTATTTATTGTGCTCATCAGCATCATTGTATAAAATCTTCAATCTATTCTCTACACATTTTTTATTATGAAATAAAAATATTTAACTAGAAATGCTTTATAACCATTTAAGTATGCAAATACTCCTGTACAGAATAATTCTTACTCTGTTCAATAATAAATAGCCATTTAAGTTCTATTTCTTGTTGATCCTTGACACATTACAATATAATTGGGGATAAGATTAGTTCCCAGTTTTTAAGGGAAATCTCTTTTCCCTATGGACATTCAACCGTTAATCTATTCAAGCCCAGAATGGAACTGACTATATTTTCATTTACTGAATAATTTTAGTGTTTTAAAGATTACTAAAGCAACATGTATTTATTGAGAAACATTTGTAATAGAGAAAAATATAAATAAGAAAATAAAAATAATTTGTAACCCACCACCCAAACTACCTGTATACATTCATTTATCTTTCTAATTTTTTCTGATTCATCATACTTTGAAAGCACAGATTTCTCAGCCTAAGCACTATTGCTGTTTGGGGCTGGATAATTTATTGTTGTGGGAAAGCTGTCTTGTGCATTGTAGGATGTTAGGCAGTATCACTGGCCTCTACCTACTAAACACCAGTAGCACTTCCACCCCTGTAGTGACAACCAAGAATGTGTCCAGACATTGCTAGATGTCCATTGGGCAACTGAATCACCCCCAGTT